CCTCCCCTGTGTTTTTGGCAGCCCCTCCCCTTTTTGACCCCTCCCCTTTAGCCCCTCCCTCTTTGACCCCTCCCCTGTGTTTTTTGGCAGCCCCTCCCTCTTTAGCCCCTCCCCTTTTAGCCCCTCCCCTTTGACCCCTCCCCTGTGTTTTTTGGCAGCCCCTCCCCTTTGACCCCTCCCCTGTGTTTTTTGGCAGCCCTCCCCTTTTTTTTGACCCCTCCCCTGTGTTTTTGGCAGCCCCTCCCTCTTTAGCCCCTCCCCCTTGACCCCTCCCCCTCTGTTTTTTGGCAGCCCCTCCCCTCCCATTTTAGCCCCTCCCCCTTTAACCCCTCCCCTGTGTTTTTTGGCAGCCCCTCCCCTCCCCTTTGTCCCCTCCCCTTGACCCCTCCCCTGTGTTTTTTGGCAGCCCCTCCCCTTTGTCCCTCCCTTTGACCCCTCCCCTGTGTTTTTGGCAGCCCCTCCCCTTTTAGCCCCTCCCCCTGACCCCTCCCCTGTGTTTTTGGCAGCCCCTCCCCTCCCCTTTAGCCCCTCCCCCTTGACCCCTCCCCTGTGTTTTTGGCAGCCCCTCCCCTCCCCTTTAGCCCCTCCCCTTTAAACCCCTCCCCTGTGTTTTTGGCAGCCCCTCCCTTTGACCCCTCCCCTGTGTTTTTGGCAGCCCCTCCCTTTGACCCCTCCCCTGTGTTTTTGGCAGCCCCTCCCCCGCCGATGGGGCCGCCATGGCCTCGGGCGGGCTCCCCGCGGCCCCGCCCCCGCCGCTGCTCTCCTGGGGGGCTCAGCTGGGCCGGGGCGCGCGGCGGGCGCTGCTGCGGGGGGCGCTGGGGCTGAGCCTGGCGCTGCTGCTGCTCTGGGCCTCCGTGTTCCTCTACGGCTCCTTCTACTGGGCCTACCTGCCCGCGGCCGCCGTGCTGCGCCCGCTGCACCTGGTGTTCAGGTGAGGGGGTTTGGGAGCCTGCTGGACCTGGGGTACGGGTGAGAGGGGATTGGGGAGCGCCGTGCTGCGCCTGCTGCACCTGGCCTTCAGGTGAGAGGGGGTTTGGGAGCCTGAACCTGGGGTACGGGTGGAGAGGGGATTGGGGAGCATGGCCTGTACCTGGGGTACGGGTGAGAGGGGATTGGGGAGCGCCGTGCTGCGCCCCGCTGCACCTGGCCTTCAGGTGAGAGGGGGTTTGGGAGCATGGCCTGCACCTGGGCCATGGGTGAGAGGGGATTGGGGAGCGCCGTGCTGCGCCCGCTGCACCTGGTGTTCAGGTGAGAGGGGGTTTGGGAGCATGGCCTGGACCTGGGGTATGGGTGAGAGGGGATTGGGGAACCCACTGCACCTGGCCTTCAGGTGAGAGGGGGTTGGGGAACCTACTGCACCTGGGCTGTGGGTGAGAGGGGATTGGGGAGCGCCGTGCTGTGCCCGCTGCACCTGGCATTCAGGTGAGGGGGGGTTTGGGAGCCTGCTGGACCTGGGGTGTGGGTGAGAGGGGATTGGGGCACCCACTGCACCTGGGGTGCGGGTGAGAGGGGATTGGGGAGCGCCGTGCTGCGCCCGCTGCACCTGGTGTTCAGGTGAGGGGATTGGGGCACCCACTGCACCTGGCCTTCAGGTGAGAGGCGATTGGGGAGCATGGCTTGAACCTGGGCTGTGGGTGAGAGGGGATTGGGGAGCGCCGTGCTGCGCCCGCTGCACCTGGGCTGCAGGTGAGGGGGGGTTTGGGAGCATGGCCTGGCCTTCAGGTGAGGGGTTTGGGAGCCTGCTGAACCTGGGCTGCGGGTGAGAGGGAGGGAGGGGTTTGGGGGGCTTCAGGTGTGTCCAGGTGGGGGTCAGAGGGGTTTTGGGGGAGGTTTTTGGGGGTCCAGGAGGGTGATTGGGGGTTCTTGGGTGGTTTGGGGGTGATTTTGGATGATTTTTGGGGTGGTTTGGGGGTGATTTTAGGGTGGTTTTGGGGTGATTTTGGGGTGGTTTTTGGGTGATTTTGGGTGATTTTTGGGGGATTCCTGACCCCGTTTTTGTTCCCCAGGTCCGACTGCGAGCGCCCCGGGCCCGAGCTCTGCTCCTTCCCCACGGCCAACGTGTCCCTGCTGGGGGAGCACCGGAGAAGGTTCTGGAAATACCCAAAAATCTGGGGGGCTGGAGGTGGGGAGGGGCTGGAAAAACCCAAAAATGTGTGGCCAAAACATCCCGAGGAAAGCCTAAAAATATCCCAAAAATGTGGGGCTGAGTTGGCCTAAAAATATCCCAAAATGTGGGGCCAAAATGCCCTAAAATACCCCAAACAAGTGGGGCTGAAATATCCTAAAATATCCCAAAAATGGGGGAATTTGGGGCTAAAATGTCCTAAATATCCTAAAAATGTGCCCAGGTGTAACCCAGGTGTAACCCAGGTGTATCTTAGCTATGCCCAGGTGTAACCCAGGTGTATTTTACTCCCAGCTGTTACTCTATGGGCAGCTGTACCCAGGTGTATCCCGTGTGTAACCCAGGTGTAACCCAGGTGTATTTTACTCCAGCTGTTGCTCTATGGGCAGCTGTACCCAGGTGTATCCTGTGTGTATCCCAGGTGTATTTTACTCCCAGCTGTTGCTCTATGGGCAGCTGTACCCAGGTGTATCCCGTGTGTATCCCGTGTGTAACCTGTGTGTAACTCTCTCAGCTGTTGCTCTATGGGCAGCTGTACCCAGGTGTATCCCAGGTGTATCCTGTGTGTATCCTGTGTGTAACCCAGGTGTATTTTACTCCCAGCTGTTGCTCTATGGGCAGCTGTACCCAGGTGTATCCCAGCTGTACCAGGTGTAACCTGTGTGTAACCTGTGTGTAACCTGTGTGTATCCTGTGTGTAACTCTCTCAGCTGTTACTCTATGGGCAGCTGTACCGCGTGTCCCTGGAGCTGGAGCTGCCGGAGTCCCCGGTCAATCGGGAGCTGGGGATGTTCATGGTGGGGCTGAGCCTCTACGGGAACGGGGGCAAGAGCCTGGCCCAGAGCGAGAGAGCGGTACTGGGATGGACTGGGAGGGACTGGGAGGGACTGGGAGGGACTGGGATGGACTGGGATAAACTGGGAGGGACTGGGAATGGACTGGGAGGGACTGGGATGGACTGGGAATGGACTGGAGGGACTGGGATATAACTGGGATGGACTGGGGGGAACTGGGAGGGACTGGGAATGGACTGGGATTGGGAACTGGGACTGGCAGTGGGACTTTGGGGATTTTGGGGTCTGGGAAGGCTCTGGGATGGATTTGGGGTGGGTTTGGGGTTTCTGGGTGGGATTTGGGGTCCTTGGGCTGGTTTTGGGGTGGTTTTGGGGTGTTTTTGGGGTCTCAGGGCTGTTTTTGGGCTGCTTTTGGGGTGTTTTTGGGGTGGTTTCTGGGCTGTTTCTGGGCTGTTTTTGGGGTCTCACTGTGTTTTTTGGGGGTCCCAGGCCATGCTCCATTACCGCTCCCGCCTGCTCCGGGCCCTGCACACCGCGGCCTTTGGGGTTGGTTTGGGATGGTTTTGGGGTGGTTTTTGGGCTGTTTTTTGGGGTGTTTTTGGGCTGGTTTTGGGCTGTCTCTGGGCTGTTTTTGGGGTCTCAGGCTGTGTTTTTTGGGGTCCCAGGCCATGCTCCATTACCGCTCCCGCCTGCTCCGGGCCCTGCACACTGCGGCCTTTGGGGCTGGTTTTGGGCTGTTTTTGGGGTGGTTTTTGGGCTGTTTTTGGAAGGTTTTGGGGTGTTTTTGGGGTGGTTTTTGGGCTGTTTTTGGGGTGGTTTTTGGGCTGTTTTGGGCTGGTTTTGGGCTGGTTTTGGGCTGTTTTTGGGGTCTCACTGTGTTTTTTGGGTCCCAGGCCATGCTCCATTACCGCTCCCGCCTGCTCCGGGCCCTGCACACCGCGGCCTTTGGGGTTGGGTTTGGGCTGTTTTTGGGCTGGTTTTGGGGTCTCAGGCTGTGTTTGGGGTGTCTCTGGGCTGTTTTTGGGGTCTCACTGTGTGTTTGGGGTCCCAGGCCATGCTCCATTACCGCTCCCCCGCCTGCTCCGGGCCCTGCACACCGCGGCCTTTGCTGGGCTCTTCCTCAGCGGCTTCGCCGAGCAGAGCCAGACCCTGGAGCTGGAGCTGCTGGGGCGCTACCGAGAGGACCCCGTGAGCTGGGGGATTTGGGGGTCCTGGGTGGGTTTGGGGGGGCCCAGGGGGGATTTGGGGGCTTCTAGGGGGCATTTGGGGGGTCCCAGGGGGTCCCAGTGAGGTTTTGGGGGGTCCTGGGGTGGGTCATGGGGTATTTTGGGGTTATTTTGGGGTAATTTGGGGCTCCCAGGGATATTTTTGGGGTATATTGAGGCATTTTGGGGGTCCCAGGGTGGTTTTGGGATATTTTTGGGTATTTTGGGGTTGTTTTGGGATATTTTGGGGTTCCCAGGGTGGTTCTGGGGGTATTTTGGGGGTATTTTGGGATATTTTGGGGTTTCCAGGGTGGTTTTTGGGGTATTTTGGGACGTTTGGGTTCCTCCCCAGTACTCGCCCACCGTGGGGGCTCTGGTTGAGATCCGCAGCCGCCGGGTGCAGCTCTACGGGGCGCGGCTGCGCGTGCACGCACACTTCAGCGGCCTCAGGTATGGCCTGGGCCCGGCCTAAACCTGCCCTGAAACTGCCCTAAACCTGGCTTTAACCTGCCCTGAAACTGCCCTAAACCTGCCCTGAAACTGCCCCAAACCTGGCCCCAGACCTGGCCTAAACCTGCCCCAAACCTGCCCCAAACCTGCCCCACCAGCCCCACTTCAGCGGCCTCAGGTATGGCCTGGGCCCGGCCTAAACCCGCCTTAAACCTGCCCTGAAACTGCCTGAAACTGCCCCAAACCTGGCCCCAGACCTGCCCTGAAACTGCCCTAAACCTGGCCCCAGACCTGGCCCCAGACCTGGCCTAAACCTGCCCCAGACCTGGCCTAAACCTGCCCCAAACCTGCCCCAAACTGCCCCACCAGCCCCACTTCAGCGGCCTCAGGTGCTCCCTGGGCCCGACCTAAACCCACCTTAAACCCGGCTTAAACCTGGCTTAAAACTGCCCTAAACCTGGCCCTAAACCTGGCCCCAAACCTGGCCCCAAACCTGGCCTAACCCTTCCCTAAACCTGTCCAAACCTGGCCTGAACCTGTCCCAGGTACCTGCTCTACCACTTCCCTCTGACCTCAGCCGTTGTGTCACACCTGTCCCACACCTGTCACACCTGTTACACACGTGTCACACCTGTCACACACATGTCACACACATGTCACACACCTGTCCCACACGTCACACATGTTATACACGTGTCCCACACCTGTCCCACCCCCTCAGGTACCTGCTCTACCACTTCCCTCTGACCTCAGCCGTTGTGTCACACATGTCACACACGTGTCACACACGTGTCACACCTGTCACACACCTGTCCCACACCTGTCCCCTCAGGTACCTGCTCTACCACTTCCCTCTGACCTCAGCCGTTGTGGGCGTGGCCGGCAATTGGACCCTCCTGGCCCTGCTGACCCTCCGGGGGGTACCTGCAGTGGGGGAGGGGCCCCCAGCGGCCCCGCCCCCGCCCGGCCCAGGTCAGCCAATGGGGGAGGGGCTTGGGGGAGGGGCTGGGGGAGGGGCTGGGGGAGGGGCTGGGGGAGGGGCTGGGGGATCCTCCCTCCCCTCCCCCACGGCTGAGCTCACCTGAGCCCCTCCCCCAACAGCAGGAACGGAGGAACCAGAGAGGAACAAACGGGAGGGGGAGGGGCCAGGTGAGAGGGGGAGGGGCAAAATGGGGAGGGGGAGGGGCAATGGGGGGAGGGGGAGGGGCCAGGTGAGGGATGGGGAGGGGCAATGGGGGAGGGGGGAGGGGGCCAGGTGAGGGATGGGGGAGGAGCTGAGGAATTTGAAGGAAATTTGGGGAAGTTTTGGGAGAATTTGTGGATTTGTTCACGGGAATTTTGGGGAGATTTTTGGGAGGGATTTCGGGGAGATTTTGGGGGATTTTAAGGAGATTTTGGGGATATTTGGGAGGGATTTGGAGGAAGACTTTGGGGAGGTTTTGGGGATTTGTGGGTGAAGATTTTTGGCTGGGATTTTGGGGATTTTTGGGAGGATTTTGGGGAGGCTTTGGATGGGATTTTTGGGTGGGATTTTCGAATGATTTTTTGGGGATTTTTGGTTGGGATTTCGGGGGGATTTTTGGGTGGGATTTTTAGGATTTCTGGGAATGTTGAAGTTGATTCCTTTTCCCCCCTCCCCCACCCCCCAGACCTTCCGGACCCCCCCCAAAATTCGGAGGAGCCCGAAATCGTGGGAGCCTCGGAGCCAGGCCCAGGTGGGGGAGGGGCAGCGCCCCCCAAAAAACCCCAAAATCCGGAGGGGGGGAGGGGCAGGGGGAGGGGCCCGGATTGGGGGCGGGGAGCTCAAAAATGGGGGGGGGGGGGCCCAGATTTGGGTCTGGGGGCTCTGACCGCCCCTCCCCCCCCTCCCCAGACCAGCCCCTGCTCAGCCCCGCCCCCAAGGAGGGGGAGGGGCAGGAGGAAGAGGAGGAAGAGGGGGAGGGGCAGGAGGAGGCCACGCCCACGCCCCTCCCCCTGTCGCGGACAGCCCCTCCCCCCTCCGGCAGCGCCACCTCTGCTCCAGCTCCTGAGCCCCGCCCCCACCCCCGCCCCCGATCTGGGGGGGTCAATAAAGGCTTCGGCCCCTCCCCCACACCCCGGAAATGAGTTTGGATTTATTGGGGGAGGGGGAGGGGTGGGGGAGGGACGGGAGCCCCAAAACCCCCCAAATTTCCCCTAAATTCCCCCAAATTTTCCCTAAATCTCCCAAGTTTCCCAAAAATTTCCTGAAATTTCCCCAAAATCCTCCAAATTTACCCCCAAATTCCCATTAATTTCCACAAAACACCCCATTTTCCCCAAAATTCCTCCAAATTTTCCCCAAAATCCTCCGAATTGCCTTCAAATTTCCTCAAAAATCCCCTGAATTTCCCCAAAATTCCCCAATTTCCCCCAAATTCCTCTGAATTTCCTCCCAAATCCCCTCAATCCCTCCAAGCTCCCCCAAAATTTCCCTCCGCAATCAACCCGAAAAAAATCTGGTCCAAATTTAAGAATTTTGGGGGTTTTGGGGTATTTTTGGTTTGGTTTTGGGGTCAGGTTTTGGGGTACTTTTGGGTTGGTTTTGGGGTCAGGTTTTGGGGTAATTTTGGGTCGGTTTTGGGCTATTTTTGGGTGACTTTTAGGGCTGGATTTGGGGGTCACATTGGGGGTCGAGTTCTGAGGTAATTTTGGGTGAGTTTTGGGGTATTTTTGGGAGAGGATTTGGGGTATTTTTGATTGGTTTTGGGGGCACTTTGGAGTGCTTTTGGGGTATTTTTGGGTTGGTTCTGGGATCATTTTAGGGCGGGTTTTGGGTATTTTTGTGATTTCGGCGTCACTCTTTGAGTTTCTCCGCTCCGTTCGCGTTCCCTCCGCCTTCTGTCCCTTCCCGGCCGCGTCCCCACGTGACCTTGGCCCCGCCCCTCTCCCTTCCACGTGACGCGCGGCGCCGGTGCCGCCATGATGGCTGCGGGCGGCGGGGCCGGGCCCGAGCGGGCCCTGGAGGCGCTGCTGGAGATGGGATTCGGGGCCCGGCGCGCGTGAGGGCGGGGACAGCGGGGGAGGGTCCCCGGTAACCGGAGAGGGGCCGGGAATGGGCCCCGGGGGGGATTGGGGCGGCCCCCGGGATTTTGGGGGGGGTCCCGGAGCTCCCTTGTGACCCCCCCCGGGTCGGTCCCGCAGGGCGAAGGCGCTGGCGCTGACCGGGAACCGCGGGGTGGAACCGGCCATGGACTGGTGAGGGGGCGAGACGGAAAATACCGGGACCCCAAAACAACCCCCGGGACCCCCCCAAAAAAAACCCCGGGACCCCTAAATCCCCCCCGAGACCTCCAAACCCCCCTGAGACACCAAAACTTCTCCGGGATCCCCCAAAACCCCTCCCAAGGACCCAAAAAACCCCCTGAGACCCCCAAAACCTCCCTGAGACCCCCCAAAAAACCCCAGGGACCCTAAAACCCCCCTGAGACCCCCCAAAACCCCCCTGAGACCCTAAAAACCCTCCCTCGAACCCCCCAAACTCACCAAAATCTTGCTGTGACCCCAAATTCCCCCCCAGACCCCCCAAACACCACCCGAGACCCCCCAAAAATCCCCGTGGGACCCCTCAAACCCCTCCAGGGTCTCCTCAAGGACTCCAAATCAGCCCTGACACCCCCAAACCCTCCCCTGGGACCCCCAAAAAACCCCTCCCCGACCCCCAAACCGCCTCTGATTTTGTGCCAGCCCCCCTGATTTTGGGGACCCCCCCCCGAATTTTGGGGACCCCCCTGATTTTGCCCCCCCCCAGGCTGGTGGCTCACGAGGACGACCCGACTTGGACTCGGATCCCGAGACCCCCCCGGACCTGGGGGCGCTGCTGGGGGGGCCCCGGGCGCCGGCGGGGGAGCAGGACGAGACCCAGAAGTGAATTTGGGGGGGATTTGGGGTTCAAGGGTGGAATTTGGGGGTTTTGGGCAGGATTTTATGGGTTCAAAGTGGAAATTTGGAGGGTTCAGGGAGGATTTGGGGGTTTAGGGAGGGATTTGGGGTTCAACGGGGGATTTGGGGGGGAAATTTAGGGGTTTAGGGGGAAAGCTTGGAGTTTGGGGAGGATTCGGGGGTCCTAGGAAGGATTTATGGGTGCAGAGGGGAAACTTTGGGGATTCAAGGGGAATTTTGGGGCTTCAGGATGGAATTTGGGGGGTTCTAAGGGGAACTTTGGGGGGTTGAAAGGAGGAATTTGGGTGTTCAGGAGAGAATTTTCAGGTTCTGGGAGATTTTGAGCTTCAGAACTTTTGATTTTGGGGTCTCAGGGCGCTGTCGGAGGCCGGGCAGGAGCACAAGTGAGAGGAGCTCAGGGACCCCGGGATTTGGGGCTCAGGGTTTTAGGGTTCAGGATTTAGGGGTCCCGGTTATTTTGGGGTTCAGGATTTGGGGTTCAGGGTTATTTTGGGTTCAGAATCGCTGATTTTGGGCCGCAGGGCGCTGTCGGAGGCGGGGCAGGAGCAGGGGGAGCTCAGTGACCCGGGATTTGGGGTTCAGGGGTTTGGGGTTCAGTTTTTATGGGTTCAGGGTTATTTTGGGTTCAGAATCGCTGATTTTAGGAGTTTTCTCCCGCTCCCAGGGCGCTGTCGGAGGCGGGGCAGGAGCAGTGGGAGCTCCGTGACCCCGGGATTTGGGGTTCAGGGTTATTTTGGGGTTCAGGATTTGGGCTCAGGGTGATTTGGGGTTCAGTTTTTAGGGGTTCAGGTTATTTTGGGGTTCAGGATTTGGGGCTCAGGGTGATTTGGGGTTCAGTTTTTAGGGGTTCAGGGTTATTTTGAGGTTCAGGGTGATTTAGTGTTCAGGGTTATTTTGAGGTTCAGGATTTGGGGCTCAGTTTTTAGGGGTTCAGGGTGATTTAGTGGTTCAGTTTTTAGGTGTTCAGGTTATTTTGGGGTTCAGGATTTTGGGTTCAGGGTTATTTTGGGTTCAGAATCGCTGATTTCGGAGTTTTCCCGCTCGCAGGGCGCTGTCGGAGGCGGGGCAGGAGCAGGGGGGAGCTCAGTGACCCCGGATTTGGGGTTCAGTTTTTAGGGGTTCAGGGTGATTTAGTGGTTCAGTTTTTAGGTGTTCAGGGTTATTTTGGGGTTCAGGATTTTGGGTTCAGGGTTATTTTGGGTTCAGAATCGCTGATTTCGGGAGTTTTCCCGCTCGCAGGGCGCTGTCGGAGGCGGGGCAGGAGCAGGGGGAGCTCAGTGACCCCGGGATTTGGGGCTCAGGGGGATTTGGGGCTCAGGAGGATTTGGGGTTCAGGATTTGGGGCTCATGGTTATTTTGGGTTCAGAATCGCTGATTTCGGGAGTTTTCCCGCTCGCAGGGCGCTGTCGGAGGCGGGGCAGGAGCGCGAGCGGCGCCGCCGGGGCCAGGAGCTCTCCAAGCTCCGGGAATGGCGCCGGGACGAGGAGCGGCGCCGCGCGGCCGAGGAGCGGCGGCGGGACCGGGCCGAGGAGAGGGCGGCGCGGTGAGCAGGGAGCGGCCCCGGGGGGGAACCCCGGAACCTCGGGGAACCCCAAAATTCCATCCAAAAAAAAACCCAGAACTGCCCAGGCCGAGTCCGCCGGGCCGCCAGGGGGCGCCGCACGAAGCCCTCAGAACCCCGGGCCCAAAAAGCATCGGGGAACCCCAAAAAAACCCCAAAAACCTCCTTAAAAACCCCAAAATCTCCTTAAAAAGCCCAAAATCTCCTTAAAAAGCCCAAAAAGTTTTAGGAAATCCCCCAAAATCCCGGATTTTTTCCCATTTAAAACCCCCAGGAGGCGCTGCCTGGGCCAAGGCACCTCACGAAGCCCTCAGAACCCGCAGCCCCACAAAACCTCAAAGAACCCCCAAAAAAACCCCGAAAACCTCCTTAAAAACCCCAGAATCTCCTTAAAAACCCCAAAATCTCCTTAAAAACCCCAAAAAGTTTTAGGAAATCCCCCAAAATCCCGGATTTTTTCCCATTTAAAAACCCCCAGGAGGCGCTGCCTGGGCCAAGGCACCTCACGAAGCCCTCAGAACCCCGGGCCCAAAAAGCCTCGGGGAACCCCAAAAAAACCCCAAAGGGGAACCCCAAAAAAACCCCAAAAACCTCCTTAAAAACCCCAGAATCTCCTTAAAAACCCTAAAACCTCCCAGGAAACCCCAAAAAGTTTCGGGAAATCCCAAAATCGGCGGAATTTTCCCTCCCTGTTCCCACAGGCAGCGATGTGCGGGAGAAGATCGAGAGGGACAAGGCAGAGCGAGCACAGAGGGTGAGGGGGCCCCAAAAATTGGGGGGATCCCAAAAAATCTGGGAGGGATCCCAAAAATCGGAGGGGGATGCCAAAGGGTTTGGGGGGGATTCCAAAATATTGGAAGAATCCAAGAAGATTTTGGGGGATCCCAAAGGAGTGGTGGGTGGGGAGGATCCCAAAGGATTTGAGGGATTTCCAAAAATTGGGGAAGATCCCAAAGGATTTTAGGGGGGGATTTCCAAAAAAATTGGAAAAATCCCCAAAAGATTTGGGGGGTTCCAAAAGGATTTGGGGGCATCCCTGAGAATTTTTTGGGGGGGGGATCCCAAAACTTGGGGAGGACCCCAGAGGATTTGGGAATCCCAAAACATGAAGGGATCCCATGGGATTTGGGGGATCCCAATCCCAAAACCTGAGGGGTCCCACGGGATTTTGGGGGTCCCATGGGATTTTGGGGGTCCCCACGGGAATTTGGGGGATCCCATGGGATTTTGGGGATCCCGTGGGATTTTTTGGGGGTCCCACGGGATTTTGGGGGTCCCACGGGATTTTGGGGGGGTCCCAGGGGATTTTGGGGATCCCGTGGGATTTTTGGGGGTCCCAGGGGATTTTGGGGGTCCCAGGGGATTTCGGGCGCCCCCCGAGCAGAGTTCGGGGTCCAGCCCCACCGGGACCCCCCCATTTTTCCCCCCTGTCCCCCCCAGTTCGCCCCGAGCCCCCCGAACCCCCGGCCCAGCCCTGCCAGGAGGCGCCGGCGCCGCGGGAATACGAGGAGTGCAGGATCCAGGTGGGACCTGGGGATTTGGGGGGATCCGGGGGGATTTTGGGGCTCCTTGCTGGGATTTCAAGGAATTTTTGGGTGATTTTGTGGTGATCTGGGGCGATTTTGGATGATATTGGGGTGGTTACAGGTGATTTAGGGCTCCCTGCTGGGGTTTCAGGTGATTTTGGGTGACTTTGGGCTGATTTTGGTCTCCGTGATGGGATTAGGGCTGATTTTGGGGTGATTTTGGGGCATTTTTGCCTGATTTTGGGTGATTTCCTATGATTTTGGGGTGATTTTGGCTCCCCTGCTGGATTTAGAGATGATTTTGGGCTGATTTGGGGTGATTTTGGATTTGGACTATTTTGGATGATTTAGGGGTGATTTGTGCTGACTTTAGGTAATTTTTAGCTGATTTAGGGTGATTTTTGGCTCCCTGATTGAGGTTAGGAGTGATCTTGGATGATTTTGGGTTATTTTTGACTGATTTTGGGCCACTTTTTGCTGATTTAGGCCCATTTTTTTTTTGCTGATTTTGAGTCATTTTTGAGGTGATTTTGGCAGTTTTTTGGGCCATTTTTCTCTGATTTTTGGCCCATTTGCCCCCAGGTCCGTCTCCCTGACGGCCGCGCCCTCACTCAGAGTTTCCCTGTATAATTTTGGGATGATTTTGGGGTGATTTTGGGGTGATTTTTGGCCATTCCCCCTCATTTCTGGCCCATTCTCCCCAGGTCCGTCTCCCCGACGGCCGTGCCCTCACTCAGAGTTTTCCAGGGTGATTTTGGCTGATTTTGGGGTGATTTTTGACCCATTTTCCCCCCATTTCTCCCCAGGTCCGTCTCCCGGACGGCCGCGCCCTCACTCAGAGTTTCCCTGTATAATTTTGGGGTGATTTTTGGGCCATTTTGGGCCATTTTCCCCTCATTTCTGGCCCATTTTTCCCCAGGTCCACCCTCACTCAGAGTTTCCCAGGGTGATTTTGGGGTGATTTTGGCTGATTTTGGGGTGATTTTTGGCCATTTTCCCCCCATTTCTCCCCAGGTCCGTCTCCCGGACGGCCGCGCCCTCACTCAGAGTTTCCGTGCCCGGGAGCCGCTCGCCGCCGTTCGCCTCTTTGTGGAGCTGCACCGGGGCCCGCCGGGGGGCGGGGCCGGGGGGCGGGGCCGGGGGCGGGGCCGGGGGCGGGGGCGGGGCCGGGAGCCCCCCCGAGCCCTTCAGCCTCCGCACGGCGTTTCCCCGGCGCCTCTTCACAGAGGAGGACATGGAGAAACCCCTGCAGGAGCTGGGTGAGACACGGGGAGGGGGCTTTGGGCAGAAATGGGGGGTTTGGGGGGTCCTTGGGGGGCTTTGAGGGGTCCTTGGGGGGGTTTGGGGGGTCCGAGGGGGTTTGGGGGTCCCTGGGAGGATCTGCAGGGCCTTTGGGGGGGATTTAACAGCTCCTTGTGGGGGCTGGGGGGTCCTTGGGGGAATTTGGGGGGGTCCTTGGGGGGGTTTGGGGGGATCTCCAGAGGATTTGGGGTCTGTGGAGGATTTAAGGGGTGTTTGAGAGGGTCCATGAGGGGATTTCGGGGATCCCTGGGTGGGTTTTGGGGGGTTCTTGGGGGGCTTTGGGGGGATCTCCAGGGGGTGTTGAGGGCCACGAGAGGGGTTTGAGGGGTCCTTGGGGAAGTTGGGGAGTCCCTGGTGAGAATCGGGGGTCACTGGGGAGAATTTGGGGTCCTTGGGGGGGTTGTTTAAGGGGTCCCTGGGGGGTTTAAGGGGGAACCCCAGGGGGATTTGGGGGTCCCTGGGGTATTTTGGGGTGCCCTGACCTCCCCCCCTCACGTTCCAGGCCTGGTTCCCTCCGCCGTCGTCATCGTGGCCAAGAAAGAGGGGAGCTGAGGGGGGCACCCCAAGAACCCCAAATAAACCCAAAAAAACCCCAAAACCTCAAGTTTGTCTTGTCCTGCGCCCCCCTCCCCAGAGCAGCTTTGGGGGTCCTGGTGATTTATTGGACGCCCCCGGGGTTTTTGGGGTCTCCAGAGCAGCTTTGGAGCCCCCCCGGGTGTTTTTGGGGTCCCCAGACCAGTTTGGGGTTCCCGGTGCCTTTTTTGAGGTCCCTTCGTTGTTTTTGGGGTCCTCAGAGCAGTTTTTGGGTCCCGGTGCCGTTTTTGGGGTCCCCTCAGGGCTCGCGGCGCTGCCAGCGTCCCACGGGGTCGGCGAGGATGACGATGGCCCAGCTGGCCAGACCTGGGGGACAGGGGGACACCTGGGGGTCACCTGGGGGGTCACACCTGGGGGGTCACACCTGGGCACAGCCGGGGTCACCTGGGGGGGACAATGGGGACACTTGGGGGTCACACCTGGGGGACACCCGGGAGTATTTGAGGGTCATTGGGCACACCTGGGGATCCCTGGGGTCAGCAAAGCACATCTGGATACACCTGGGGGTCACACCTGGGCACACCTGGGGTCCCTCCCCCCACCCATGGAAACTCCAACCCCCGAGATTTTGGGAACAATTTTAGGAATTTTTGGGTCCATCCCGGGGCCACCCTCACCCTGCCCCGCCCTCGTTTCCATGGAAACCGTCCCCATATTCCCGCCAAAACCCAGACCGCGCCCCCTCCCATCGGTTCCCGCCCCCCTCCCCACGGTCCCCCGCCCCCTCCCCTCGGTTTCCGCCCCGCCCCTCACCGGCGGCGAAGGTCATCTGGGCGATGGCGCCCATGGAGGGCGCGATCCCCTTTTTCATGGCGTTCCGCGGCCCCTGGTACACCCAGACGGCGGGCCATGAGCAGCCCCGCGCCGCTCAGCAGGCGGCAGCTCCAGCAGCCGCCGAACAGCGGCCGCGGCGAGCCCGGACCGGGCCCCGGTACCGGCGCCGCCTCCGGTGCGGCCTCCGCGCCCCGCGGTCGCGACATGGGGCGAGCCGGAAGAGACGCCGGAAGTGTCCGTCATTTATAGCACTCCGGGTGCAACCGCGCAAAAAAAAAAAAAAAGTTCCGTGCGCAACTGCGCCCCAGCCTTGATGGTTCCGGGGGAAAGGGCGGGACACCGGGAAACGGAGTGTGAGGGGGCTCCCGGTGCTGACGTCACTTCCGCCACGGTACCGCCGGTGCGCCACGTTGTCGTCGGTCTCGGCCGCCTCGCGCAGCGCCGCCATGATCAGCTCATTGTGGCGTCGCCTCTGCGCTAAACTCGCGGCGTCCGCGCCGGGCTGGCCCTGCCGAACCGGGAACACCGCGCAGGGGTCACCGCCGGTTCCGGTCCCTGAGGCGTCCCCGCCGCCCACTTCCCCCCGTACCTTCAGCGTCTGCTGCCGTTCCTGCTCGCCGCCCGCGATCGCCACCACAGCAGCAGCCCCAGCGCCACCGGGACGGCGCCGCGGGCGAGCGCCAGCGGCCACCGCCGGTCCAGCGCCATCGCCGTTTCCCCGGCACTTCCGGCGCCGCTCTGGCCCGCCCGGAGCATAGAGACGGCGGCTGGGAGGACCGGAAATTCGCTGCGCCACCTAGAAACCATAGAGACGGCGGCTGGGAGGACCGGAAATTCGCTGCGCCACCTAGAAACCATAGAGACGGCGGCTGGGAGGACCGGAAATTCGCTGCGCCACCTCGAAACAATAGAGACGGCGGCTGGGAGGACCGGAAATCCGCTCCGCGACATTGAAACCATAGAGATGGCGGCTGGGAGGACCGAAAATCAGCTCCGCCACACGGGCGTCATAGAGATGGCGGCTGGGAGAAAACTGGAGTCGTCCCCCCCTTTACGGCCGGATCGCCCTGGACCGTCGGGATCAGGGTCACGGAGCGGCTCCAGCGCCGGGAAAGGAACGCGAGATCCACGCCCTCACCCCGGGACGCGAAAGAAAACACGAGACTAAAGCGGTTCAGAGCTTTTTGTTTATTAACAAAGTACAAAATCACCCATCCGCCGCTGGCGCCGTCCCGTGGCTTTCTTGGTCCTTCAGCGGGCCCTGCAGAAGAGAAAATGGCGGTGAAGCGGCGGCCCGAGCGCTCCGGAGCTCCCAGGGGAGCCGCGCCGGGCCTTGTCCGGCGTGTGAGGGTGGGACCGGCGGACGCCACCGCCGGCACCGAAGACATCGCGCCGGTCGCTGCTTTCCCTCCGCACATCACGGAGCCCGGCATGGCAACGCCGGGGCCCGCCAAGAACGAGAGGATTTTCCCGGGGAGGCCCTTGCTCAGTTTAAAAACAAAACCAACCCAAAAATCAGACCCAGCCCGTTGCTCACCCAGCGTCCAAAGAACGCTCTGAGGGGAGACGGCCATTTTATATAGCGCGCGCGTGGGCGGGGCCTCGGAGAATCCCACAAATCAACGGCGCCGGCGCGCGCCCGCCAACCAATGAAAACGAAGTAAAAGAAAAGGGGCGGTGGCCTAAAAGAGATTTTAATATGGGTGGGGCTCTCGCCACTACAGCCAATCAGAGCTCGCTCCGCACGGAGCGCGACAAACGGGTCGGGGTTTAGTGACCGGAAGTGCGGTCGGACCGGAAGTGGTGCCGGACCGGAAGTTGCACGATGGGGATCGGAGGGAAAATCAACCGGCCCCGAACGGTGACCGGGAACACCCGGAGGGCACCGGGAGGCACCGGGAGGGCTCCCGGGACACCGGGGCGGCTTCAGAAGGAGTCTGGCGGGAGGAACAGCCCGGAGGGAGGGCGGGAATCCCCATCCTTACCGGGCCTCCCGGTAACCGGTACCGTGAGGGGTCTCTGGTAACGGCGGGACCCCCCCGGTGACCCCGTTGTTCCCCATAGGAGCTGCGTAAGAAGCTCTTCAAGCGGCGGCGGGAGCGGGCGCGGGGCCGGCGGCAAAAGCGGCGGTGAGCGCCCCCCCGTCCCCTCCCGGTGCTATCCCGGTGCTCTCCCGGTAACCGAGGCGGGGTCCCGGTGCTCTCTCCGCTCCAGGTCGCTGTCGGTGCCCGCGGCTCCGGCCCCGGTGTGGGGGAAGCGGCTGCGGAAGGAGATGAAGCGGCTGCGGGGTGAGCGGGCAGGGGATACCGGGGGACTCCGGGGGACACCGGGGGCGGCACCAGGACCCTGAGCCCCTCCCGTGTCCCCAGCGCTGAAGGCGGCGGTGACCGAGGCGAAGAGGCCGCGGGAGGACGCGGGGACGGGGAACGGCGACGTGGAGATGGCGGAAGGTGGCGGCAGAGTGAGCGTGGGGCCGGCCCGGTGCCAGTCCCGGTGTCCCCCCGGTGCCACCGGTTCACCACGCTGGAACCTTCCCCGATGCCCCCTCCGTGTCCATGAGGGGGCCACCAGTTTGTCACCGGTGTCCCCAGTCCTTCTGCAAACGGCCCCCAGTTTGGCACCAGTGCCCCAGGCCTTGCTCCCAGTCCCTCCCAGTCTCTCCCAGTGCCCCAAATCCCCTTCCCGTTATCCCCAGTCCTCCCAGAGCCTCAAATCCCTGCTCCAGTCCCTGTCCCAGTGTCCCCCCAGTCTGCTCCCAGTCTATTCCCAGCCCCTCCCGGTCCCTCCCAGTCTCTCCCAATGTCCCCTGGCCTTCCCAGTGTCTCCCAGTCCCTCCCACTCACTGTCCCCAACCCCTCCCAGTGTCCCCAATTCCCCCCCAACCCCTCCCAGTGTCCCCAATGTCCCGAATCCCCATCCAGTGTCCCCAGTCCCCCCAGTATCCCAAATAAAGGGATCTCTTCTCATTCTCTGTCCCCGTTTTTGTCCTTGGTGGGGAGGGGTGGCACAGCTCCAGGGGGGGACCCTTTTCACGGTGACACCGCGAGAGGGGCGGAACCATCGCGCTCAGCCGCGCGGGCGGGTGGGGCACTTCCGGTGCCGGACGCTTTCAGCCGCATGCGCAGCCCGCCCGGCCCGGCCGCCGCCGCCATCATGGCGCTGTGCGACCCCCCCGGAGCCGCAGCCCCCCCCGGCCGCCGCTCAGGTACCGGCGGGGAGCCCTGGGGGTACCGGGGGTGGGAGGGGAGAGCCCCCGGAACCTCCCTGGGGGTGGGAGCGGCGACCCCCGGAGCTGCGCCCGACCCCCCCTCAGCGACCCCCTTCCTTTTTTTAATCCTGTTTTTAACCAGTTTTAAACCTTTTTCACCATTTTTACCCTCTTTTTTATCCTTTTAAACCCTGTTTAAACCTTTTCTAACCCATTTGAACTTTTATTTAATCGCTTCTTAACCCCCTCCAACCCCATGCTCCCCTTTCACCCCCTCTGTAACCCTCTTTAACCCATTTTAACCCCCCTTTACCCCAACTTTAACCAATTTTTACCCCCTATTTTAACCTGATTTTTTCCCATTTTAATCCATTTTCTCCCTCCCTTACACCCAGGAGCTGTCCCAGGAGGTGAAGGCGTTCCTGAGCAGGCTGGACCCCATGCAGGGCATCCCCATTTTAGCCCTATTTTACCCAGATTTTGATCAATTTTACCCCATTTTAACCCATTTTAATCCCATTTTCCCCCATTTTAACCCATTTTCTCCCCTCCCACAGTGCCCAGGAGCTGTCCCAGGAGGTGAAGGTGTTCCTGAGCAGGCTGGACCCATGCAGGGCACTCCCCTGTCCCATTTTACCCCATTTTAACCCATTTTCCCCCATTTTAACCTATTTTCTCCCCTCCCACAGTGCCCAGGAGCTGTCCCAGGAGGTGAAGGCGTTCCTGAGCGGGCTGGACCCCGTGCAGGGCACTCCCCTGTCCCATTTTACCCCATTTTCCCCCATTCTAACCCCATTTTCTCCCTCCCACAGTGCCCAGGAGCTGTCCCAGGAGGTGAAGGCGTTCCTGAGCGGGCTGGACCCGGTGCAGGGCACTCCCCTGTCCCATTTTACCCCATTTTAACCCATTTTTACCCCATTTTAACCCATTTTCTCCCTCCCACAGCGCCCAGGAGCTGTCCCAGGAGGTGAAGGCGTTCCTGAGCGGGCTGGACCCGGTGCAGGGCACTCCCCTGTCCCCCCCTGCCCACGCCCGCTGCGCCCTGCGCCTGCTGCGCTGCCTCCCCCCTGCCCGCCACGCCGCCCTGCAGCACCTGCGGGGCCTCTTTGACGACCAGGTGTGCCAGCACCTGCTGCAGCGCGAGAGCCCCGCCCCCGGGCCCGCCCCCAAGGCCACGCCCGGCTCCGAGGTGCTGCAGGAGGCGCGCAGGGCGCTGGCCGAGCTGGTGGCCGCCAACCCGCGGGCGTGGGGCGCCCGGCGTGGCCGCGTGGGCCAGCGAGCTGATGGGGCAGCTGAGCAGCAAGTACGCCAACAGGCCCGGGGTGCCCCCCGCCGCCAGCCTGAACGAGCTGCTGCAGCTGTGGATGGCCTGCCCGGCCACGCGGGCCCTGCTGGACATCTACAGCCAGTGCCTGGCCGCCATGGTGGGCAGCTGCCCCGACGCCTGCGTGGACGCGCTGCTGGACACCTCGTGCAGCACTCGCCGCACTTCGACTGGGTGGTGGCGCACGTGGGCTCCTCCTTCCCCGGCACCATCATCAGCCGCGTCCTCTCCTGCGGCCTCAAGGATTTCTGCGCCCACGGCGGCGCCGAGGCGGCGGGGACGGCGGGCGACAAGCGCGTCCCCAAGATCGCCTCGGTGGTGGGGATCCTGGGCCACCTGGCCTCGCGCCACGCCGGCAGCATCAAGCAGGAGCTGCTGAGGATGTTCCACGAGAGCCTGGGCTCGCCCCGGAGCACCACAAGGCCACGGTGCCCTTCCTGCTGCAGCTGGCGCTGATGTCCCCGGCGCTGCTGGCCGCCGTGTCCCCGGAGCTGGTGGACTCCCTCAAGCCCCCGGTGCTCAACCAGCTGCACCAGCACTTCTCCTCGGTGCCCAGGGACGAGCTGGAGGGCGTGGTGGGCGTGGTGGTTCACCTGCTGTGCCACACCTCCGCGGGAGCCCTGCGCACGCTGCGCTTCCTGCTGGCCACGGCCGCCCCCGCCTCGGTGATCACGGCGCCGGGCCCGGCGCTGCACGAGGGCGTCCGCGAGGCCTGCGAGCGCCTGCTGCAGCTGCTGCTGCTGCACCTGCAGAAACTGGTGCACGCGCGGAGCTCCGCCAGCCTGGCCGAGTGCCCGGCGCGCCCGGTGCCGTTCCTGGAGGCGCTGCGGGCCCGCACGTGCGGGAGCTGTGCCAGGACACGCTGCGCCTGGAGCGGCGCCGCTGCCTGTGGCAGCACCAGCTGCTGGCGCTGCTGGCCGTGCACTCGGGCCCCGCACGGCGCCGCCGAGGCGCTGTTCTACCTGCTGGCGCTGGCGCGCACGCCCGAGGAGCTGGCGCTGGCGCCGCAGCTGCACGCGGGGCTGCGGGCGGTGCTGCCCGACCCGCTGCCCGCCGCCGTGGCCGCCGCCGTGGCGCAGATCCACGCCGGCCGCCTGCCCGAGCCGCAGCTGGCGCAGCTCCTGCGCAACCTCTCCCTGCTGCTGCTGCAGCCGCGCGGCGACGACGGCGACGCCGGGGAGGCGGCGCTGGGCGCGGCGCTGGCGCGGCACCTGCCGGACCTGGCGCAGCTGCTGCTGCACCCGCGCGCCGAGGTGGCGGAGGCGGCGTGCCGGCTGCTGGCGGCGTGCCCGCTGCCCCGGGCGCTGCCCCCCGCGCACCTCCTGCCCGCCGTGCGCGCCGCCGTGCGCGGCTTCTTCGCGGGGCTGCGCCGGGGCGACGCGGCCGCGCTGGCGCCAGGCGTGCGGCTGCTGGCGCGGCTCAGCGCCGTCAGCCCCGCGGCCGCCAAGGCGGTGCTGGCGCAGCTGGTGGAGGGCGCGCTGGGGCGGGCGCAACGCGGAGCTGTTCGGGGGCAGCGCCGACCCGCCGGGCCCCGAGGCCGCGGCCGCCCCCAGCGCCGCCGCCCGTGTCGCTGCTGGACACCAACCAGCGCTTCACCGCCGGCCTCACCACGGCGGGCGGCGTCTGGTCCGTGTTCCACGCGGCGTCATCGGCCGCGGGCTCAAGCCGCCCGCCGGGGCCGGGCCGGCGCGGCCCCGAGGAGCTGAACCGCAACACGCAGACCTTCCTGAGCCTCCTGCTGCGCTGCTGCCGCGGCTCCGGCCCCGCCGAGGCCGCCAAGGCGGTGGCGGCGGCGCTGGTGGAGGCCGTGTGCCCCGAGGCCGCCGGCGCCGAGCTGGGCTGGCCGCCCGAGGAGCTGGCCCGGGCCACGGTGGAGCGGGACCTGCGCATCCTGCGGCGCTTCCGGGCAGCACCCGCTGCTGTTCCCGCTGCTGCGGGCTCGTGGCCGGCGGGCACCCCGCCCTGTGCTACTGCTCGGTGCTGCTGCGCGGGCTCCTGGCCGGGCTGGTGGCGCACTGGGACGCCTGCAGGGAGCCCAGCACGGGCGCCTCGCCCTGGCACCTGCGGGCGTCGTGCGCCGCTGGTGGCGCTGCTGGCCGAGGGCTCGCTGCTGCCGCCCGTGCTGGGCAACATGCACGAGCTGTTCCCCGAGCTGGCGCCGTTCGAGGTGCACCTGCTGCTGCTCAGCGTCTGGGGGCTACCTGCGCGAGAACAGCCCCCTGCCCCAGAAATTCACCTTCCAGCCCGAGCTGGGCGTGTTCCGCAGGGACTTCGGGCGGGGACGGCGACGTCAGCAAGCACCTGGCGGTGCTGCACGCCGTGCTGCACAGGAACATCCACCGGCTGGGGCTGCTGGCCGCCAGGTTCTACCCCTGAGCGGGGGGGAAAGAGAGGCATTCGGGGGTTTGGGGGGGGTTTGGGGGTGGGAGACGGATTTGTAATAAAAGGAAAGGAAAGAGAGAAGGGTGTGGAGTGTGGGGGTCCCCAAGGGGGGTTTGGGAGGGGCTGGGGGTGTTTGGGGAGGTTCCCGAGGGGGGTTTGGGGGGTCTTGGGGATGTTTTTGGTGGTCTCGGGAGGGTCTGGAGGTCCTTGGGGTGTGTGGATGGGTAGAGAGAGGGTTGGGGAAAGGTTTGGGGGCTCAGGAGGGTCTGGGGGCGTCCCAGAGATCCTGGAGGGGATTTGGGGGCGTCTCAGGGCTGTCTTGGGAGGATCCTGGATGTTTTGGGGGTCTCAGGAGGGGCTGGGAGGTCCCTAAGGGTGTCCTGAGGGGGTTTTGGGGGGGTCTCAGGAGGATCTGGGGGTTGTCCGGAAGGTTCTTGAGGGTTTTGGGGGGTCTCGAGAGGGTCCCTCGGGTGTTTTGGGGGGTCTTTGGGAGGGTCTGGGGCTGTCCGGGAGGTCCCGGGGGTCCCTGGAGGTCTCTGGGGCTCCGGGGCCCGCCTGGTCCCCGCGCTGTCAATCACCCGCCTGTCCCCGCCCATCCCTCATAACCGACCAATCACCGCCCTCTGTCGGGCCGTAGCCCCGCCCCTTCCCTGGACGCCGCTCTCAGCTTGGTGGGCGGGGTTTTCGACTTGGCGACCAATCAGCGCCGCGCTCGCTGGCGAGACGCGTCACTTCCGGCGGAAGCGGAAGCGTTGGCGGAAGCGGCGGCGGCCCGAGGATGTTTTACCACGTGAGCGGCACCGGGGGGTCACGTGCGGCACCGGGAGGTCACGTGTCACACCGGGGGGGGTCCCGGGGTCTTCCCGCCCTTGGGGGCCCTCCCGGAGCGCTCCCGGTAACTTCCGGTGCCTCCCGGTAACTTCCGGTGCCTCCCGGTGCCCCCAGATCTCCCTGGAGCACGAGATCCTCCTGCACCCCCGGTACTTCGGGCCCAACCTGCTCAACACCGTCAAACAGAAACTCTTCACCGAGGTGGAGGGGACCTGCACCGGGAAGTGAGCGCGGGGACGGGGGGAACCGGGAGGGAACCGGGGGGAACCGGAACGGCACGAAAATCCCAAAAACAACCGCGGAAAACCCAAAATCCTTCCCTGGGACACCCCCGGGATCCCCCGGGGAACTCCCGGTATTCGGGAATCCC